GCCCTAGCCCTAGCCCTAGCCCTAGCCCTAGCCCTAGCCCTAGCCCTAGCCCTAGCCCTAGCCCTAGCCCTAGCCCTAGCCCTAGCCCTAGCCCTAGCCCTAGCCCTAGCCCTAGCCCTAGCCCTAGCCCTAGCCCTAGCCCTAGCCCTAGCCCTAGCCCTAGCCCTAGCCCTAGCCCTAGCCATAGCCCTAGGCCTAGCCCTAGCCCTAGCCCTAGCCCTAGCCCTAGCCCTAGCCCTAGCCCTAGCCCTAGCCCTAGCCCTAGCTCTAGCCCTAGCCCTAGCACTAGCCCTAGCCCTAGCCCTAGCCCTAGCCCTAACAATAAATATAACCCTACACCTAGCCCTAGCCCTAACAATAAATCTAACCCTACACCTAGCCCTAGCCCAAACTCAAATCCTAGCTCTAAACTTAGCTGAACCTTAAGCTATGATCGAGGGGTAATGTCGTACTGGGCGTGGGGTAATTGACAAAATGGTAATTACTCCGGTGGTAATGACGGAGGGGGGGGGGGGGAATGTCCGGGGGTAATTGACGGGGTGGGGGGGGGTAATGCCCTGTTCCCGTACTGAACAGCATAATGGGCAGCATGTAGCCTAAATAACAGAAGAGCTATGGATGTTGACATGATTTTGCCTTTGTCCGGTAAACATTTCAGTAAAGACATTAAAAACATTCCATAACCTTTTTATAAAGAAACAAAGAGAGATTAAGACTTAGACCTACTCCAATGGCATCTATATTGTTTAACTGATTAACTATGTAATGTAGGACTCGATTGGACCAATGAACTAAATTTACGCCAAACCAGTTTAAAAGTTCGAGTTTTATAACACTGTTACTAAGCTAGCAAAATGAAAATGTGCATAATCTATATTATCTACATTAACACCCAACCACCTACCTAACTACCCACCCCCACATCTACCCACATACCCACCTAACAACCTACCTACCCACCAACCCACCCATTTACCCGCAGTGGCGTAGCTAGGATTTTTGGGCCCCTATGCAAAAATTGTAACTGGGCCCCTTCGTCAGCCGTTAGGCTAAAAAGGAGTTTAACAAAGAAATCAACAGCTATTCACGTTGGAAGGTTTCGATTAATATATTTTATACGTACTGTACTATATTATTATGTAGACCTACAACCTCTTAGTTTTGTAAAAAATAAACAGGGAGTGATCTCCCCTAAACTTTCTCGAATATTCTTATATAAAACAACAGGGGATGGGAACTCGGGATATAGATCTGCTTATGATTTTTAATCCATTTTAAATACTTAAACTTTTTAAAATAGAATAGAATCTCATAGAAAAAAAGTATTGCGCACCAAGCGAACGCCGAATAAAGATGTTCATAATGGTGCGCAATATTATTAGTACTTTATAAATTTAGATGCGTTTTTGAGAAATCGGAAATAGCGTAAATTAGTACTTTCCGTCAACGGAAATTACTCAAAATTTAACAGCAGGTAGAGAATTAGATCTTTTACTTACAGGTGAAATTTCATTTATCTATCTGAAATAGTACTCAAGTTATAGGCTTTTGAAAAAATTCAAAGTAGAAAAAGTACCACTTCCGGTTATTGGAAATCGCTCAAAAGTTGATACGGATCTACGATTTTGATAAAATACTTATATATGAAATTTCATCAACCTAGCTGTAACGGTACTCAAGTTATCGTGTTTACACACACACACACACACACAGACACACAGACATACGGACAAGATTGCAAAATTATGTTTTTCCGTATCAGTGAGGTGTAAAACGTCGAGATTTGTAAAAATCTCGATTTTTTTTTTTTGCACAATTACAATACTTTCTCTATAGGCTACTACGTAAATACGAGAAAGTAATAACGTTACAGGCTTAAAGGTAATTTTTTTTTTTAATGTGACCAAACAGTAGCGTCACAAGGTGGGGGTAGAGGTCCGCATCTAATGACAACATTTAGGTGTAACACAATGATAAAACAATGTAAATTTTACTTTCAATAAACTATGCAAATTCTAAGGGGTTATGAGGTGACACCTTTAGTAAACGCACTGGGTGACACCTTACATTGTGACGCCACTAACCAAACTCACAATTTTAAAAAATGCTCATGATTTATTTAGATCTGTTGTTTTTTCATGGTTTTAATCTTGGAAAATGTCTAATAAGTTTTCTGAGATCCTATTTAGCTGCTTCTGTATGTACTATACTTTGGATGACCAAGTTGCTGACCCATTGGGCAAATATGCAATTTATTTCATTCCCGCGCTGTTGTCCCACATACCAGTGTAACGAAACAATGTGTAAAGGTTTTATCAACGCGTTACCAATTTTGTGTTTTTGTCGCGTGACTTTGTTTTCTAAAACTGAGATAGCTGAAATGTAAACAAGGCCTCTGCTATTTTTTCGTATCTTTGTTGCTGGGGCGTAGGTTGGTCCACATTACCGCTCAGATGCGGTTTAAATCATCGAATGAAGAGGCCCACAGTGGCCCTAATGTACAATACTCGTCAAAATCCGCCTCTGATACAGTTCGACAGTTGAATCGAATAGTACTCCTGACTCTGCAGAACGTGTAATAATCGGATAATTTGCACTCAGGTAGTCGCTAGGTAAATCGGGGCGTCCAATAGTGACTACTGCTTATCCGTATCCCTAGCGTATGGCGCTCATTAAAACAAATATATACGTAGTAGTGCCCGGGGCACATCGCTTTACACGACCGCCGGGGCGTCGGCTGATGCGCCTGTGCTGTTTAACAACTGAATGAAGTAGTAACACTTACGCGCTGTGCAGGCCCCCCAATCAAACGGACTCCAGGTACAAAGATAGCCGCTGGGAAACTCTGCGTGGCATATCGCAACACCTTACGGCCGGGGCACCGCCCTCCGAAATAAAAAAAAACGTTTAATGGAAGAAACCTTCCCAAAAGTCAGAGTTTCTTTAGGCAACTTTTCAAAAAATGTTTGGAAAAAAAACTCTGCCTGGAGTATTCTCATCGACTTCCCAAAATTTCTGGCGATTTGGCGAAAACCAAAAGCGGTTAGTGTTAATAGCGCCATATTGATTAAAGATTAATTATATCAACAAATGAACTGCCATTAAGGGAAAAATGAGAAAATCATTGACAAATGTTGGACTTAGCTTGTGGTGAAAACACAGTCCATGGTTTTTTTTTTTAAATGCCTCAAATGTGGAATTTTAGTAGGATGAAATTTCGGGGAGGGCAGACAGTTAGGAGGGAGGTGCAGGTGTTATTACAACGGATCGGCCCTGTCCGACACCGACGTCCGTCCCCCTCCCCCCCCCCCCCCCCCACAGCCACACAAATTGAATGCCACTGCCTGTACAGTAAGAAACGACTGGGGGCACTTTTGGAAATTGTTATTAGTTCTAAAGTGGAAAAGAAAGTGGATTTCCATTTTCCCTTTAAACTTATTTATATGAAACAAATATTAAAATCCCAATCTAAAAGTTTTAATTTTTTTAAGAAGGAAAAGAGCCCCTATGTGCCTAGAGCCCCCATGCCTTGCTTACTCTAGCTTTACGGTCGCTACGCCACTGCTTACCCACCTACCCATATATATATATATATACATACATATATATATATATACATATATATATATATATATATATATAGATATAGATATAGATATAGATATAGATATATATATATATATATATATATATATATATATATATATATATATATATATATATATTTGAGGTAATTAGGTAGGTAGGTAGGTAGGTGGGTAAGTGCGTTGGTAGGTAGCTAGGTAACTAGGTAGGTAGATAAGTAGGTAGGATGGTTAATTGGTAGGTATGTGAGTCATGATGAAATAATATTAAATACATCATTGTTATTATTTGTGTTTTATCAGGGTATTTTGTTGCGAACGAATGTTGGTGCGATAGATATGACGAATGCATGTTTGATGAAGCGGATGAAAGAGAGTGAAGTTTTACCATAGGAACGGGTTGTTATGGTATGCAAGCTAGGTAGTTCGGACTAGGGAGAATGTGAGAGATACTTCGTGTAATGTCGATATCAAAGAATAGTTTTATGTTTATTTATACGAGAATAGTAGTTGAATAAATATTGACCAAGAAAATAATAGGCATTGTGTAAAGCGATTATCGCCTTTTTGGTGGTGATGTGAATGCACATGGTAGTGGTATGCTTGAAATGTTGGCAGATCACGTGATCAAACACGACACTCTCACAACAGCCGTATCAGTGATGTATAAATGTTTCATCTAGTCCATATAGGTCTTTGTACTAAAATTTCTTTTTGCGCATTTTTGTTGCGTGTTTTTCTGAGCATTTTTCTGTTTGCGCTTTTTTTCTGTTCGCGCTTTTTTCTGTGCACATTTTTCCGTTTGTGCTTTTTTCTGTGTGCGCCTTTTGCTGTATGCGCTTGTTTCTGATTGCGTTTAGAGGAAAGAGTCAACACTACTACACTAGCACCCGACGAAAACCACAGTTAACGGGTGGTATAGTAATTAAATAAAAAATAGTTAAATTTTTACACTTGTAGCGACATTAGCATTTTATTTTTATTTCTCTCAATTTGTAATGGTTGGTTTTCATGTTAAGAGTAATCTCTACACACTCACTCGATTCACAGTCACCACAATTCTAAGTAAATTTTTATTTAAATGGCCTCGTCAAACCTTATATATATATATATTTATATAAATATATATATATATATATATATATATATATATATATATATATATATATATATATATATATATATATATATATATATATATATATATATATATATATATATATATAATTATATACACACACATACATATATATATATATATATATATATATTCCATTTATTGAGATTACTTTGTTATATCATTTGTAGTAAAAAAAAAATGTCAAAAGTAGACCTTATGTCAATTGTAAACTTTTATTTATCAATGGTCAGTTTAAAACCGTTCATACAAACATAGTTATATACTAATATCTGATTTTAGACTTAACCCTCTGCAAATATTTTCTGATTAAGAGTTGTTTTTTTAGTCTAACGACTAATCGCAATCCAGTGATACCAAATAGCATTTATTTGACCAGACCATGTTTCACACACAGCTTCAAAGCCTGTTTCTGTTATATCTCTTGCGTAAGCAACTTTGCTGATCTTTGCATTCATTTGTGCATCAATACCATATACAGTAAAGAGGACAACAGGTGGGATGGGAAAAGGCTTCTTAAATGTGATTCGAATTACAACCCTCTTGAAACCAGACAATTGCGGAAAGTTGAGAGAATTTCCAAAGTTGCCTCTACCTTCTTCATAGTAATTCACATTAAGGATTTCAAAGCCATCTAATAAATCTGCTTCAAATTGCTTTAGTACACCATCAAGCTCGTCTTCTAAAAAGATTAATACAAACCTCATTAGTATTTTAAACATATGAAGCTAACAAATTAACATGCTGTTTTTAAATGTCTAAAATCGTATGTTAAATTTTCAAATAAAAGAAATATAAAAAAAAAATATTTTCAATAATCCGATTTTTTATGCACTGTAAATCTATATATATAAAGCAAAGTGGTCAAGTGCCCGATAGGGCACTTCCCGGCGCCGCAGGCGCGTCAAATTTGGCACGATGGTGCCTTCGGGCGATAGAACACGAAGGCCGGTGACGGTTGGCCGAAAAGTCTACGGAGAAGGGGTCAAAACTGACCTCGACTGACCGGCGCCTTATATGGGCTATATTACGAAAAAAAATTTCCTCCGACGAGCCCCCTTGAAATTTTGTGAGGTGGTAGGAGAACCCCTTGGGGTGTCATAAAAAACTCGGCATATCTGGGAAAACTTCGTAAAGCGGTCAAAACTGACCAGTTGTATTTCCCTATATAATCTTTGTATTTTATGGGAAAAACAGAGGGTCATTTCAACGCAGACTTTAGGGTACTTAAGCTCAGTATATCTGGCTAATTTTTTGCATGCTCCTAGATCAATGGCTTGACCTTTAGGGAAAACTGTCGGTTACACTCAAAGCCCTCGACGAGGGCTAAAAAGTGACCGCGAGTGAAATTCTCTTTATATGAGCTCTATTACGAAAAGAAATTTCCTCCGACGACCCCCCTTGATATTTTGTGAGGTGGTAGAAGAACACCCAGGGGTGTCACAAAAAACTCGGCATATCTGGGAAAACTTCGTAAAGCGGTCAAAACTGACCAGTTGTATTTCCCTATATAATCTTTGTATTTTATGGGAAAAACAGAGGGTCATTTCAACGCAGACTTTAGGGTACTTAAGCTCAGTATATCTGGCTAATTTTTTGCATGCTCCTAGATCAATGGCTTGACCTTTAGGGAAAACTGTCGGTTACACTCAAAGCCCTCGACGAGGGCTAAAAAGTGACCGCGAGTGAAATTCTCTTTATATGAGCTCTATTACGAAAAAAAAATTCATCCGACGACCCCCCTTGATATTTTGTGAGGTGGTAGAAGAACACCTAGGGGTGTCATAAAAAAACTCGGCATATCTGGGAAAACTTCGTAAAGCGGTCAAAACTGACCAGTCGTATTTCCCTATATAATCTTTGTATTTTATGGGAAAAACAGAGGGTCATTTCAACGCAGACTTTAGGGTACTTAAGCTCAGTATATCTGGCTAATTTTTTGCATGCTCCTAGGTCAATGGCTTGACCTTTAGGGAAAACTGTCGGTTACACTCAAAGCCCTCGACGAGGGCTAAAAAGTGACCGCGAGTGAAATTCTCTTTATATGAGCTCTATTACGAAAAAAAATTTCCTCCGACGACCCCCCTTGATATTTTGTGAGGTGGTAGAAGAACACCTAGGGGTGTCACAAAAAACTCGGCATATCTGGGAAAACTTCGTAAAGCGGTCAAAACTGACCAGTTGTATTTCCCTATATAATCTTTGTATTTTATGGGAAAAACAGAGGGTCATTTCAACGCAGACTTTAGGGTACTTAAGCTCAGTATATCTGGCTAATTGTTTGCATGCTCCTAGATCAATGGCTTGACCTTTAGGGAAAACTGTCGGTTACACTCAAAGCCCTCGACGAGGGCTAAAAAGTGACCGCGAGTGAAATTCTCTTTATATGAGCTCTATTACGAAAAAAAATTTCCTCCGACGACCCCCCTTGATATTTTGTGAGGTGGTAGAAGAACACCTAGGGGTGTCACAAAAAACTCGGCATAACTGGGAAAACTTCGTAAAGCGGTCAAAACTGACCAGTTGTATTTCCCTATATAATCTTTGTATTTTATGGGAAAAACAGAGGGTCATTTCAACGCAGACTTTAGGGTACTTAAGCTCAGTATATCTGGCTAATTTTTTGCATGCTCCTAGATCAATGGCTTGACCTTTAGGGAAAATTGTCGGTTACACTCAAAACCCTCGACGAGGGCTAAAAAGTGACCGCGAGTGAAATTCTCTTTATATGAGCTCTATTACGAAAAAAAATTTCCTCCGACGACCCCCCTTGATATTTTGTGAGGTGGTAGAAGAACACCTAGGGGTGTCATAAAAAACTCGGCATATCTGGGAAAACTTCGTAAAGCGGTCAAAACTGACCAGTTGTATTTCCCTATATAATCTTTGTATTTTATGGGAAAAACAGAGGGTCATATCAACGCAGACTTTAGGGTACTTAAGCTCAGTATATCTGGCTAATTTTTTGCATGCTCCTAGATCAATGGCTTGACCTTTAGGGAAAACTGTCGGTTACACTCAAAGCCCTCGACGAGGGCTAAAAAGTGACCGCGAGTGAAATTCTCTTTATATGAGCTCTATTACGAAAAAAAAATTCATCCGACGACCCCCCTTGATATTTTGTGAGGTGGTAGAAGAACACCTAGGGGTGTCATAAAAAACTCGGCATATCTGGGAAAACTTCGTAAAGCGGTCAAAACTGACCAGTTGTATTTCCCTATATAATCTTTGTATTTTATGGGAAAAACAGAGGGTCATATCAACGCAGACTTTAGGGTACTTAAGCTCAGTATATCTGGCTAATTTTTTGCATGCTCCTAGGTCAATGGCTTGACCTTTAGGGAAAACTGTCGGTTACACTCAAAACCCTCGACGAGGGCTAAAAAGTGACCGCGAGTGAAATTCTCTTTATATGAGCTCTATTACGAAAAAAAAATTTCCTCCGACGACCCCCCTTGATATTTTGTGAGGTGGTAGGAGAACGCCTTGGGGTGTCACAAAAAACTCGCCATGTCCGGGAAATTTCGTTAAATGGGTCAAAACTGACCAGTCGTATTTCCCTATATAATCTTTGTATTTTACGGGAAAAAACAGGGTAATTTCAACACAATTTTTAGGTTATTTAACCTCTGTACATGATGCTAATGTTTTGCATACACTTTTATTGATGACTAGGCCGTATGGAAAAACTGTTAGTCAGACTCAAAGCCCTCGACCAGGACTAAAAGATGACCGCGAGTGACATTCTCCTTATTTGAGATATATATAAATAAATTGACGAACGATTCCCTTAATATTATTTGAGGTCGTAGACCGACCCTGGAGGTTTACAAAAAAAACGTTATTCCCGTCGGGAAAAGCCATTGTAGTCGTTAAATATGTTCATATATTGTATTTTCTAATATAAGCATAGCAACTGTTTGTTTTAAAAAAGTAAACAAGGGACATTTTCAAGGCAGGTAACCTTTTTAAATAACTTTTTTTCAAATAATTGTATACTATTTTAAACAGAAAATGACAAAGTATAGCATTTGGTTTAGTAAAAATGTAAGTTGTTGATTCAGCTAAGTATCATAATTAAATAAAAAAATTAATTTTAAAAGTCAACGTAATATAAATTATGAGATATACTGTTCATGGAACCTCTGTAGTTCTAATTCCATTTTAGTCATACATTGCGTACTTTCAGTTATTTTCTCTGAAAACAAATCGTAAACAACATACAACAACATCTTCTCTAAAATTAGCATTACTGTTTAAATGTAAGCACTCCACACCTCATCCATCAATAAATATTTAGTATTCAAATTATCTAATGTTTTTGAAAACCTAAGCGAAGCTAGGCAGTATGCCTAGTAAGAAAATAAAATTATTTTGCTTTCTTAGAATTAAATCTGTGGTCGCTAAATTGTTTTGATTTCATAAGCGGCCTAGTTTCTTGCTCTTTAGCCAGGCTAATGAAAAAAAAACGGAGGCGGTATTTACAAAACAGAGAGAAGTGGAGTGTAATATTTCATGTAACACATGTCAATGTTATTGAGTGTGTGTATTAACGAATGTTATAATTGCAACTCATTAAATGTGTAAATACCTACTTAAAACTTACCAGTTATGGCAGTTAATGATGAAAACAAACTACACACAATTAACGCCCAAATTGCTAGTATTAGGCCCATTTTTATTTTCTGAAAAAATTAGATGTAAAATCAACCGTTATGGATTATAAATTCAGTAAACACGTGTCTGTTTTGTGGAATATACAGCTGGCATTGTGTATACGTTCATACTTCTTTAGGTACATTTGTAAAATACATGGTGTTATAGATTGGTAGATTGGTAGATTGGTAGATTGGTAGATTGGTAGATTGGTAGATTGGTAGATTGATAGATTGATAGATTGATAGATTGATAGATTGATAGATTGATAGATTGATAGATTGAGAGAGTGAGAGAGTAAGAAAATGAGAGATTGAGAGACTGAGAGATTTAGAGATTTAGAGATTTAGAGATTTAGAAATTGAGAGATTGATTTCTTCTTAATTAAAATTAAAAAAAACAAACTTACCAAGCCTTTTGACTTTTTAAAAACATACTAAAATGTCTTAGTGGTTTATATATACCTAAACATTACAGATGTTATTTACTAATGAAAGAATAATATGAACGCCAGGACGGCAAATTTGAATTTAATTTGCAACTCGCCTTTGAAATTTTTTGCGCTGTGCCCTGTGAAAACAATGAGGGTTGAATATATTTAAAGTGAGTGAAACATGTTGAAAATTATTTTTTGTGTCAACCCACGCAGTAAATAATTCGGTGGATATAAATACGTATCAAACTTTCTTTTATATTCGTATATCACAATGGAGGTTGTAATGCCGCTTTTAATTGTATATTCGTTTTTGATAAAACTTGTTTTTGTTTAAACAAATCAGGTATAAACATTTGAAGTCCACCTAAAAAGAATACTTGCGTTTTTTGTAATATGTGAACAAAGCAGGCGCCATATTTCTTTCATAATAGTTGCCTGCGCGCAAGTTTGTCTACACTACCACCTAAACGAACTAAAGTGTGCTGAATGAATCACACTCAAGAGCATTGCCACAAGTAACTCTATCACAGGGGTCCCGAGGAAAGTCAATAGTTCGGTTTAATTATTGAAATGTGAACCAACATTGATTACAAAAACTGTTACTAAAACATGTATTCACCTTCAACCTATACTACATAATCGAAAAGATTATCTTGCATATCGCACGTAAATGTAAAACAAAAATGCGTCAGAGGCTCAATAAGTTAACATTCACATCAAAAAACTTTCGAAAGAGCAACGAATAAATCTATCGGTTCTGCAACAAGTCAATTATCGCGTCGTTAAAGCCCTTTAGTCTATATCAAGTTCAGAAGTGCCAAATGATCGAAATTTAAACAATGTCGTACTGCATGTTTGACAATAATTAGCGATTGGGGCGCGTGTTTGTAAAAAATCCAAGGGCGTTTTGTATGCAAATTTGAATGTTTTGATCACCCTCCATAATGGCTAGGTAAAATAAAGTGGAGATCTTTTGGAAGCCATTTTATACTAAAAAACATAGGTAAAAGCCTTACATAATTGTATTGCAGTAACCGCCCGCTTCACGCCACTAGTTTAGTGCGCTATTTGCAACTAACGTATTCGAACTTGTTCTTCTGGGTTTCGAACAACAGAGCTCTATGCTACAAGCGATTGGCATATTACAAATTGACAGTCATACAAGTAGCACCAATTATGATAGAACAAGTGGTGTAATGATACATAAAGCCCACAAATGTGTGGTTTGTTGCGTTTGTTAGAGAAGTGCGTAAACATAAGGGATGTGCAAATGCTAGTAGTTAAGGTATTTCAGTAAGGTGTGTTAGACTGAAAGAATAACAATAATATAGATAGCAAGTCAAAGGTATAAAACGTTAAAAAATAATTCACACACACACACACACACACACACACACACATATATATATATATATATATATATATATATATATATATATATATATATATATATATATATATAGTGTTTAAACATTCTAGTAAGCGGTTATTATTTTTATTTGTCTTTGTCCACCTGTAAGAGAAAAAAAAATAAGAGAAAATAGACTTGCAATCAACATTTTTGTCTTATGAGTATTACAAAAGTTCTATTCAAATATTTGTTCTTTCAACATCATCAACTAGAGTCCAACAAAAGAAAAAAAAATGTCCAAAGTTACTTAAGACCATGATGTATATTTTACATCAAAAACTTTCAAAATTGTTTTTTAATTCCATAGCTGTTAAGCTCAGAATTGCAAAAACATTGTTCTGACATATAACAAAAGAATTTCAAATAAGCATAGCAGCTGGCAACGCCTTATTCACAATACTACAAAGATTATATCAAAATTAAATGTCAATTTCGCCTCTCTAGCTATGCTATTATTCTTACATTAGTGCAACACAACATTTGCAAGGTTTAAGTGTATATATATTTAGCAAGAGGCTGTTAATTGCGAACTGTAAAGAGACGTACTTGGGTAAGTTTGACATGATTTTAAAAATTATTAATCTGAAATAAATTTAATTCAACCTGTTAGTAGAAACTTTATACACACATATTTTTGCCTTAACAAATACTAGACGTACTCAGTTGGAATACTCATGGTATATCCTTGATGTTTTTGAGCCGTTTTTAAGATTCGATTTTGATGTAACATATTGTTATAATCGTAGTGATACGGTGTATACCAAATGAACGGGATTTTATATTAAAGCTACTATTAACTGCATTATAAATCTTAATTACATTCTATAACATAAATCTCCCCGCATTACGTATAATTCTAGTTGGACAGTAAAACCTACACAGACTAATCCAACATTCTGGAATTCGTATCCCGCATTTTGGTCAGTGAGACTTTATGAAACTCCCCACCTCCGATAAGTACCTGGCGTAAGTGAAATAAAATACCGTCTGGAAATAGAATTAAACTTAATACCTCTTTAAATACATAACATAAATTTGTCCTACACGCTTTAAAAGCGTAAAATAAAAAATGTTGATCCCTGGTGAATAAACGGGACCAATCACACTCTACATTGTACGCGATGTAGTTCTTTTCCTTTAAGCTGTAGTAATGCCACCTACATATTCATAAGCAGAATGTAAAACAATTAATGGCGTATTCTTAATCAAACTCGAGTACTTATCACGAGGTATATTATAGATGTATTCGAGACAATAAGCATGCATTCTGTATAAATTACTCATTGTTTTTTTTGTTTTTTTGTATTAGAAAATATAAAATGGATCGAGGTCTTGCCTTGTGTGCGATGCTATTTTGCGGTTTAATCTCACAATTAACTGCACTCACTGGTCAGTACTTTTTTTCAAAATATACATTTTAAAATATGGATGCTTACTACATACTACTTTATTTATATTTTATACTGGTAATCACAGGAAATTAATTGTTTAACTTTTCCATTTGAAAAAAAACGATAAACTCTAACTTTGTACAGAATGCTTTTTTTTTACTTTGTTGTACATACAAAAGATAGAGAAAGTCTTGGAATCGTGAAAAAACCCTGATTTTTGCAAATCTCGACCGTTACAGCTAAGTTAATGAAATTTCATATTTAAGTATTTCCGCTAATCCGAAATCGCATTTTTTATACTTTCAATTTTGCAAGATAGTATAACTTGAGTACTATTTCAGATAGATAAATGAAATTGCCCATGTATTGCATTCTATGCCTTCTGACACATTTAAAGTTATTTCCGTTGCCCGGAAGTTATAATTTTTGCTATTTACGATTTCTTGGAAAACGCATTTGAATTGATACAGTACTAATAATATTCCACATTAATATACACATATTGTTTGGCGTTCGCTTGGTGCGCAATTCATTTTTAAGAGATTCTATTCTATGTTTAAAAAGTTTAAGTAACAAAAATATCTATAAAAACGTTTTCATAACAAGATTTTATGTACTAATACACTAAAAAGTAGAAAATAAGTTATACATTCCTATTTTAATAACTACAAAGAAAAGCGTGGGTCACTTAATTTTCTATCGGATACCTTTACTAATATTTAGGAAGAGACACACGCTTTTCTTTATAGTTGTTTTAATAGTAGTGTATAATTTATTTTCTACTTTTTAGTGCATTAGTACATAAAAGCTTATAATTAAAACGTTTTTTTTTAAATTAATTTTTTCCCGTACTTTTTTTTTAATGCAATAGAGTTGCATTACTAAAAACCATCACTAAAAACCATCGCGCACATAATGAACGTGATGACCCTGTTTAAAATTGCGGAATAGTTTGATGAGACGGCCTCCTAATTTGGACAAATGTGTAATTAATTCATAAAAAAATTAATTAGGTATTCAATTAAGTCAAATTCATGTCATGTTGCATTGTCTTCATGTCTTGACCCACGTTACAACTATGTCAATTAGAAGTGTCCGAAATTTCGCTAGGGCGTTTCCGCCTAGACAGACAGACAGACAGACAGAGGAAGTGAGTTGAATAAGAGCTTGTAAAAATGGATTGAGTCTAATGTCTATATCCGGAGCTGCCAACCTTTTCTATTTTAAAAAGTTTAAGAAATTAAAAATGGATAAAAATGCATTTCTATATGCCGAGTTGCCATCCTCTGGCAAGAATATTCAAAAAGTTTAGGGGAAACTACTCCCGGTTTATAAAATGTTCAAGTAATTATTCATGTATTAAAAATCATGTCCATATCCCGAGTTGCCTTACCCTGTTTTTTTAATAAAAAATATTTAAGAACGTTTAGGGGAGATAGCTCCAGATATATCATTTTACGTTTCCATGTTATTAAAATGGTTATGCATTTAACTTTTTTTCAATATAATATATTATAAATATATATATACATACATATATATATATATATATATATATATATATATATATATATATATATGCATATATATATATATATATATATATATATATATATATATATATATATATATATATATATATATATATATATATATACATAAAATGCGCACAATTTAATTTTTGAAGCAAATATTGAATAATATTTTTGTGTTTTTTGTTTTACAATAGAGCAAGAAATTGATAGTAAAGTAGAGTCCTTCCAAAACAAAATATTCAGTGCCATAGCACGGTATCGATTCGAAGAAGGTAGAGGCGACTTTGGAAATTCTCAAAACTATCCGCTTGTGAATAACCTAAAGAGGGTTGTCGTTAAAATTTCATTCAGGCAGCCATTTCCTACCCCACCTATGATTTTTTTTGAAGTATATGGGGTTGATGTAGACGGTACTCGCACTTTAAGACTGGTTTCTTACGCAAGAGACATAACAGCCACAGGCTTTGAAGCTGTGTGTGAAACATGGGATGACACTCAAATGCAGGCTGTGTGGTATCACTGGATCGCGATGAGTCGTTAGATCTATTAAAAATCCCAAAGTGGACAATGTTTTCCTAGAGTCTGTTCTACATCTAAGCATACATGTTTTGTTTGTGCTCTCAAATAACATATTCATGTCAGCCCTGCAAATGGGGGGGGGGGGATAACTACACTACTATCTACTTCAATAGGCTTATCTAATGAATTGTCCGGTCAGTGCCACCATGGGAAAACCCACGGTGGTTAAATCTTAGCCTTAGACTAGATAAGACACAAAAAAAGCTTTAACAATTTAATAGAACTATTTTTTACAGGAATGAAACAAATCATTTTAGAAAAGATATACATGTAAATAAAACTAGACAAAAAAACCAAACAAAACAAACCCAATCGCACTAAAATCCCGTAAAGAGAACAAATCTCAAACATCACATATACAAATCATTAAGATGACACCATCATAAAATGGATATTAAAATTTGAATCAAACAGAGGGTGACAGGATTAAATCTCAACACTCCGCATGTAGTTTACATAGAACTAACTCAAATATATAACCTGGAATATAAGTACCAGGACACTGAGCACTAAACTACTAGCTCAAAAGACAGTTATCACAAGGCTCACGAAAAAATAAAATTGTATAATATTTATTAATGTCATCTGCACATCTATAATGACTTAGAATAAACCAAGCACTCTCTTGGGATCAACAAAGATCACCTCATGAAGTGAAAGTCGACTATAATGACAAAAAAAATAGTATAAAACAGTATAGAAGTAAAATAAATAGACCCGACAGTTAAGAACGAACCTTAACTGTGAGTCAGGCAACAATAAACCTTATCCCTGGCAAACACAAGCCCAAATGTTACAGCTAATGAAAATTACCGTACCACCTAAGCCAACAGCCAGGAGTAAACCATAACTGTGGATTAAGTATAAATAAACCTTACCACTGGCTTTAAAAAGCTAAAAGGATACATCTAATAAAAATCAATACTGTGAATAATACACACACAGTGGGTTACAGGCATAAGCCTAAATAGTACACACACATCCGAATCAAAAATAGACTTCACATTAAAAAGTCAAAACCACAATTGTGACAAGAACATATACATGTGCAAAAAAGTCAGCCCATGGCCAACAAACATTATAAAACAGAAAAATAAAAGGAGCAACTAGCTTACCAGGCTTTGTGGAAACAATACGACCGGTTTAACAAATAGATGGTGTTGTGAAGACTTTTGATGTTTCCGATCGTCCAGGCTCTGAACACACAACAGCCTCCCGTATCCCATCGACACACAAAGGTGACTCGAAACATCTGCCGGGAACTGACTTCCACATACCTCGCACACTACATGTTGTGATGTAGATATTTATATAAAATGACTGTGAGAGTGGTCTCCCCTTATAAGTGGTGTGAACGGTAGTGTGTAAGCAGGGTCTGTTGAAAAACCTGAGCGTAGCATGTTGGCAGTGGTTTTTGTTTGTCACCACATCTATTTGACCATATGTAAATACATCTGTTTAACCATATGTCAGTACGATTGACTGACTATATGTCAGTACATCTGTTTGACCATATGTCAGTACATCGGTTTGACCATATGTTAGTACATCTGCTTGATTATATGTCAGTTCATCTGTTTGACTATATGCCAGTACATCCGTTTGACCATATGTCGGTACATCTCTTCGGTTTGACCATAAGTCATAACATCTGACTGACCATATATCTGAATAGCGATGGTGACCAACTCTGGTTAATGGGATGTGTGTGTGTGTGCGGTAAGCGTGTTGTGTTGTGGTTGTGTTGTGGTTGTGTTGTGGTTGTGTTGTGGTTTTGTTGTGGTTGTGTTGTAGTTGTGTTGCAGTTGTGTTGCAGTTGTGTTGTGTTGTGGTTGTGTTGTGTTTGAGTTGTGCATGTGGTGTCGTTGTGTTGTCGTTGTGTTGTGGTTGTGTTGTGGTTGTGTTGTGGTTGTGATGTAGTTGTGTTGTTGTTGTGTTGTTGTTGTGTTTGTGTTGTGTTGTTGTTTGTTTCGTTCTGTTCCCAAGTTGGTACATTTAAAAAAGATTTACCGTGGCGGAGCACGGGTATGCAGCTAGTAGATATATATATATATATATATATATACATATATATATATATATATATATATATATATATATATATATATATATATATATATATATATATATATATATATATATATATATATATATATATGAATGTATATATGTATATATGTATATATGTATATATATATATATATATATATATATATATATATGAATGTATATATGTATATATGTATATATGTATATATATATATATATATATATATATATATATATATATATATATATATATATATATATATATATATATAAAAAGAAAAAAAGAGAGATAGAAAAAGAGGAAATCGTGCATGTTTGTTCCCAGATCTGCCTTTACATATAAGGTGTAACAGATCACCTATTACCAAATATTAATTTAATACATTTTCAAAATAAAAAAGTAAACCATTGTGGAAAATAATGTTCAAACCTAAAATAGGCTGATATATTTTCCAATGTATTTCAAAATATCTGTATTTTTTACAATTCCTGCCCAAGCCAAGACCCACCCACATACCGTGTGGCACCTGGTATGGTGGTTAAAAGATAACTCGCATTTCTACAGGAAGCACTAAAAAATCGGATTTTTTTAAAACACGATCTGATTGATTTTAGAGTGTTTTTTTTTTCATCAGTTATATAATTTTAAGCAATAAGCACTTTGCTATCAAATCGATTCAATATCGATAACATGTACTAGAAAATCCAATCTGTTTTTGATTTAATCAATGTGCGCAGTAAACAGATAATAGTAGCACAAAGTGAATTCAATTTTGTATGCGAATTTTAATCAATGCTCATCTCTGTATTAGCTTATGCAGTGGCCGAACGATAGAGCGCATGGAGGCCATAATTTATGAACCGGGATATAGACCTCAACACTTGCACGTTACTCTGACGTGTGCCTTCTTTTAGATGACCGCGGTTTAACTTCTACGCCATGGAAACAGAAACAAAGGATCTATACTCTATATTCTTTATTCAACGTTAGGTAAAAATAATGGAAATAATTTTTTTTTCTTAATAGAAGTGTGACTGCCTTATTTTAGAATCGCTTACATTTTTTCCATCTTGTCTCAACATAGTTACTCAAAGATATTTAAATAAACAAACTCAACGGAAATAAATCATGACGTTTAAAAGTCTAGAGGGTTTACTAACATCTCTTTCAGCTTCTAAATATATCGTTGGTTATAATGAAAATGCTGATTGAAATGAATTTGCCTAGATTTAATAAATGAAAATTTGACATAAAAACTGAAAAACAATTGGCTACTAGAACAAATTCCAGCTTGTATTTACTTGAGTGCTCACAATCAGAACATTATTAGCTTCAACGTATACGTTTTATATTTTTATTATTAATTTTAAGAGATAGTCAGAAATGCGTCAGGAGAGAGGCCGAACAATAGCCAGAAACAAACGCTGATTCGTAAAATGAAAGCAAAGGCATAAAGGGTTAAATAGACCTTATTCGCATTTCCACCAATCTAATGTGAGTGTAATACACCTCAATAGAAGATCCCCAGCTAAAGTTGTTGTGTTCCAGAGGGCGTTTAAATTAAGCAAGTAACCACCAAGCTCCTTTTTACAACACAGTGCAGCTTCCGTCCGGTTTGTTGTCGTCGTCTCTCTCTGCCGTGCTGAACTTGTAGTTGTTGTGGTAGCACATCCAATCCGTGGCGTTACCCGAGTACCCATCGATCTGCAGCCTGTAGCCATGGTTCTTGCTACCCACACGGAATGTTGTACACGTAGTAGCCGGTCCCGTCATGGATGAAGTCGATTCTTATCTCGTGAGGTTTTTCGGTCGTAAGTACATGTAGGTTCTCATTACTCACGTAGTATTCATCGATTTGGAATCGCCGAAACCGTTTTTGCAGCTGTTCCAGTCCAGGTTGAAGTCGATGGTTCCGGAGATTCTTCGCTGGAAAACAAGCCATCCGCCGTTGTCGGTGATGGTGTCGCACATGACGTCAATGCCGGCGTCTAGGGTAACCACCTGCCTGGCGTAGTTGTTGTCCACACTTTTGCAGGATGGGAATGGCGTCGATGGTGGGGTGGTTAATATGCTAGCTTTAAAAAAAATAATTATGATAGTAAGTACGCTTTTTAAAAATCTATATTCAGAACACCAGCATATCTTAACAAACTAGTCTAACCCTCTAAGACACCAGCATCTCTCAACAGACCAGCCTCTCTCAACAGACCATTCTTACCATACAAGAGACCAGTCTCTCTCAGCAGGCCAGTCGTAATACACAAAAGAACAAACTCTTTTAACTGACCAATCTTACCCTCCAAGACACCAGCCTCTCTCAAACAGACCAGCATCCCTCAACAGACCAGCCTCTCTCAACAGACCGTTCTTACCATACAAGAAACCATCCTCTCTCAAATGATTCTTATCAAACAATAGACAACCCTCTGTCTACAGACCAGTCGTAACATATAATAGAGCAGCCTCACATAACAGACTATAGACACCAGCCTCTCTCAAAAAGAGTATATATATATATATATATATATATATATATATATATATATATATATATATATATATATATATATATATATATGTATATATATATATATATATATATATATATATATATATATATATATATATATATATATATATATATATATATATAGTGGAGCAGCTCTCACTATGTGACTTCTGATCTAAAACTGGCTGGCTTGACTCAATGATTGACTTCACTTTTGACCTCAGTTACTTGACTGACTTCAATTTAACGACTGACTTCAATTTGACTTCAGCAACTTCACTGACTTTAATTTAGCAACTGACTTCACTTCTACGACTAACTTGACTGACTTCATAGACCTCTCTGAATGACTCCGACTGACTGAACTTCGACTTCAAATACTTCACTCTGACCTCAAAAACTTCAACGACTTCACGTTGACTTCAAAGATGTTTCTTTAACTTCAACGACTTGAATATGACTTCAAAGACTTCACTTTGACTTCAACGACTGTAACGACTTCCCTTAGGGTTTGTGGTTGTGTTATGTTTGCGTTTGTATTCGTGTTTGTGCTTTGGATTTGGTTTGTTTAACGTTATGGTTTATTCGAAGAGTAATATATTTCCTAAACCCCGACAATGCCGGGTATATGCTGATTACTAAAAGTCATGGTCATTTACAGATATATCGGGGGATCGAGATTTATATGCCAGTGGGTTTGAACTCGAGACTGTTCGAATGTATCAACCATGAGCTCTTTGCCGACTCAACCACGCCTCCAACACAATTAAGCTTTACGTGTCAACTGGTTATGCGCCATTGAGGCCATTGACTCCGATTTCAGCCTGCTTTTCTTTTTGGATTTGCTTCCATAGCCTTTGTACAACCAAGAACAAACCACAAGGCAGCAGTTGTTTAATTTTGGAGTTGTCTCTCCTTGAAGAGTGGCTGTCCCCAGCTAACAAGCCTCATCTGCCCGAGGGTTCGAACTTTTCGATTTAGCAACCATGAGCTTTACCGACTCGACCACGCCGACCCCTACTGAAGCAAGTGATGTTGGACGTTGAACAGAGTGAGATGCACTGGACTAGACCGTTGACGCTCTGTGTTTGATTCAGTGGCCACATCATGACTTCACCTTTGTTCTGTGCGTGAAGTTGTTGCTGTAGTACCAACGAACTGGCCTCTGCCGATATATTTGGTTTATTTCTTGTAGAAGTTGGTTAGAAAAAGGGTTCTAGTGCGGATGTCGATATGAAACCATCAACCGTGATTGCAGTATACTTTGTTGCGTCTTTTACTAATCTTCTCTAGTACACGTTCATACACACCATACTGTTGACTGTTATATTGAGTGATTGCCGATAGGAGTGGTTAGAAGGACGTTCTTGTGGGGTGTAGATATTGCAATAATGACATGTATTTATTAAACTATAATTAACCTAGAGGTATGCAGCCGCTCACCCCCCCCCCCTTCCCCACAAACACACACAATCATACACACTTGTAATATGATTTTTTTCTAAATGATCGTTATTTAATTCGATTCGATTTCCTAACATGAATTAAAACCAAAACGTTATACAAAGTGTAATCATAATACAAACCCACACGGAGTGGTCTAGCTCTAGCGGTAGAGAGCTGGACTGCTAGCCCTAAGTCTCGAGTTCGAATCCGGGTTCAAGTCAGTAAACCGTCCCTGATGGGTAACTAACTCAAGTTATGGAAAGTAAAGGCGGCTGGGCTTAGTGCTGACCACACTATCTCTTCATATGCCGAGATCACAGAAAAAAAAGAACTCTACTTCACTTGCCCTAACGAAACTAACGCGCATTTACTTAGATCTAATCAGAAATCTTAATATATAAAAGCAATTTTGTGCATTTCGCTCTCTCTTTCTCTCTCTGTCCGCAAAATATTTTCACAGGATATCACATCAGAATTTTCAGCGATATATAGAGAACTTGATACGGATTTTTGCTGAAAATAATATGGTAGATGTTTTAAATGTACAACCAACATTTTAATTTAAAGAAGAAAAATACAAAAATAAAGGCATATTCAAATGTAGAAAAACAGTTTTAATTATTCAACAGGAAAAGTGTTTATAGTTGTGAAAAAGAACCCAGTAAACAATGACGTCACTAATATTAATACATTAACAAATGATGTCATCTGCGGATTTTAAAATAAAAAGAAATGAACTATTTCATTCAAATTTGATTTAGATCTACGCACGCTATGAAATGTAAACAATACACTTTTTCCGGCCTAAACTTATAACATTTATTTTATCTATTTGGATTCTAGATCTAGAAATTCTAGATCTAGACTAGATCTAGATCTAGGTCTAAATATACGAGAAAAACTAGACGTATACGTAAATATGCTTTAATTTTCAGTTACATTTAACAGTAAATAAGTTGAAGCATACGTTTATCAAGTTTTACATTATATACGAAGTATAGAAGAAGTATTGACATCGTAAGAAAAATTGAAATCGAGATTTTAAGAATAAAATATGTAGATGAATTTTGTATAGTTATGACTTATATTGAATATGGACATTTTTAATTTGTTACATATCATATTAGTTTATTTAGCTAAAAACTAAAATATACCGTTATTAAAAATGGGTGAGCGGACCTTTGACCATAGGTGGTTTGACCACAGGTGTTTTCTCAGGAGATGGTCTTTGAATACAGGTGTTTTGTCATCGTGTGTTTGATCACAAGCACTATTCAGACATATGATCAGTCAGAATATGACATATGGTCAAACAAATGTACTTACATATGGTCAAACAGATGGACTGACATATGGTCAAACAGATGTACTGACATATGGTCAAACAGATGTATTTACCTACAGTATGCAGTATAGGGATATGGTCAAACAGATGTACTGACATATGGTCAAACAGATGTACTGACATATGGTCAAACAGATGTACTGACATATGGTCAAACAGATGTACTGACATATGGTCAAAGAGATGTGCTGACATGTGGTCAAACAGATGTGCTGACGTATTTGCATGCTATAGCACATCTGTCATTTAGTTAACCATGCAAGTATCACTTCTTTGACTATACTGTCAGCATTTTTTTGCATCCCCTTTTATCTTTTATATATACTATGTATTTTCAATCTCCGCTGTAGTCAAACCCCATATGATCAAACCCTCAATGGTCAAATGGTCAAACCCCAGTGGTCAAAGCCCCGCCGTGCACAAAGCCCCATATGGTCAAACCCCATATGGTCAAACCCCCTATGGTCAAACCCCCTTTTGTTATACTCTCGAAGGGATCAATTTTATTTTATTTCATTATTCATAGGCTTAGTTGTCCTGCACTTAAAAAAAACCCTGTCATATCTAGATATGGTATCATGTTGCATCATTCTCTCTTAGTACAACCCAGTCATTATTTTGTCATTTCTTTTTGCAAAAAAACAATTTATATAATTAAATATTATAAGGCTGTATGGGTAACAATATGGTTTAAGGGACCAGTTTGTTGTTGATAGCTGAAGATAAATAAAACTTATTTATTTTTAAAATTAACACAACGTAGATAATATAATTTTTTTTTCAAAAATTAGCTGTCACCGTTCATATCAATGTGAGCGGATATTATTATATCTGTAACTTAAAAAGGTGAATGTATCGTTTCGTTTTATGTCTTAAACTGTTCGTGCTTTTAAGTTATGTAGTCCTGTATTATGGCGCTGCTGTATAACTGTTTACGACGCTGTCTACGTCTAGTTTGTATATATTTTGTTTATAATGTTTTCAATGCTTATGTTAAGTATCTTTTTGTATAATTGTGTATTATGTTTCGTGGCGCGTTGTTTGTTAACAGTGAATTACAAACTATTTGTTTACGTGTAGTGTGCGAGGTATGTGGAAGTCAGTTCCCGGCAGATGTTTCGAGTCAAATTTGTGTGTCGATGGGATACGGGAGGCTGTTGTGTGTTCAGAACCTGGGCCATCCGAAAAATCAGAAGTCTGCACAACACCATCAATTTGTTAAACCGTGTCGTATTGTTTCCACAAAGCCTGGTAAGCTAGTTGCTCCTTTTATTTTTCTGTTTTATGTTTGTTGGCCATGGGCTAACTTTTTTGCACATGTATAATGTTCTTGTCACCATTGTGGTTTTGCCGTTTTATTGTGAAGTCTATTTTTGATTTGGACGTCTGTGTACTATTTAGGCTTATGCCTGTAACCCACTGTGTGTGTATTATTTACAGCCTTGATTTTTATTAGATGTATCCCTTTAGCTTATTTTAAGCCAGGGATAAGGTTTATTTATACTTAATCCACAGTTATGGTTTACTCCAGGCTGTTGGCTTAGGTGGTACGGTAATTTTTATTAGTTGTATCATTTGGGCTTGTGTTTGCCAGGGATAAGGTTTATTGTTGCCTGACCCACAGTTACGGTTCGTTCTTAACTGTCGGGTCGTTTTATTTTACGTGTAAGTTGTTTTATACTATTTTTTTGTCATTATAGTCGACTTTCACTTCCTGGGGTGATAAATATAATAAATATTAAACAATTTTATTTTTTGTGAGCCTTGTGATAACTGTCTTTTGAGCTAGTAGTTTAGTGCTCAGTGTCCTGGTACTTATATTCCAGGTTATATATTTGAGTTAGTTCTATGTAAACTACATGCGGAGTGTTGAGATTTAATCCTGTCACCCTCTGTTTGATTCAAATTTTAATATCTCTTTTATGATGTGGTCATCTTAATGCCTTGTATATGTGATTTTTGAGATTTGTTCTCTTTACGGGACTTTAGTGCGATTGGGTTTGTTTTGTTTGGTTTTGTTTTTTGTCTAGTTTTATTTGCATGTATATCTTTTCTTAAATGATTTGTTTCATTCTTGTAAAAAAAAAATTCTATTAAATTGTTTAAGTTTTTTTTGTTTCTTATCTAGTCTAAGGCCAGACAGTACATTAGATAAGCCTATTGTAGTAGGTAGTAGTGCAGTTATCCCCCCCCCCCCCCCCCATTAGCAGGGCTGACATGAATTTATTATTTGAGAGCACAAACAAAACATGTATGCTTAAATGTAGAACTGACTCTAGGAAAACGTTGTCCACTTTGGGATTTTTAATAGATCTAACGACTCCTTGCGATCCAGTGAAACCACACAGCCGGCATTTGAGCGTTATCCCATGTTTCACACACAGCTTCAAAGCCTGTGACTGTTATATCTCTTGCGTAAGCAACCAGTATATACTTGTTTTTCGCATCTACAACAAGCCCATGTACTTCAAAGAAAATCATAGGTGGTGTAGTAAATGGCTGGTTGAATGAAACTTTAACGACAGCCCTCTTTAGGTCACTACTCACAACCGTAAAGGTTGAAGAACTCCCAAAGTAGCCTCTGCCTTCTTCGAATCGATACGGTGTCAAGGCATTGAGTATTCTGGTTTGGTATGACGCTATTTTACTATCAATTTCTTGCTCTAATGTAAAATACAAAAACACAAAAATATTATTCAATATACGTCTTAAACATTAAATTGTAAGCATTGTATATATATATATATATATATATATATATATATATATATATATATATATATATATATATATATATATATATATATATGTATATATATATATATGTATATATATATATATATATATATATATATATATATTTATATATATATATATATATATATATATATATATATATATATATATATATATATATATATATATATATATATATATATATATATATATATATATATATTTTGAAACATTTAAAAAAAATTTCTTAAATATACTTTTATTAAACAACGGGGGATGGAAGCTGGGAATATTGACATGAATTTTTATCCATTTTGAATTACTTAAACTTTTTAAAATAGAAAAGAATCTCGAGGACATACACCGGGAGTGATCTCGAATATTCATTATAATAAATAACACTACGGTGGATGGCAGCTCGGGATATAGACATTAGTTTCAATCCATTTTTACAAGCTTTTATTTAACTCACTTTATCTGTCTGTCTGTCTAGGCGGAAACGCCCGAGCGAAATTTCGGACACTTCTAATTGAAACTTGGTAGTTAGAACGTGGGTCAAGACATGAAGACAATGCAACATGACATTAAATTTGATGACAGTAATTGGAGGCCTAATTAAATTTTCATAAATTAATTAAAATTTTGTCAAAACTAGTATACTGTCACATCAAACTATTCCACACTATTAGACTGCGTCATCATGTTCATTAGGAGCGCGATGGTTTTTAGTCATGCAACTCTATTGCATTAAAAAAATTAAAGTACGGGGAAAATATTAATTAAAAAAAAACGTTTTCATAACAAGTTTTAATTTTAATGTACTAATGCACTAAAAAGTAGAAAATAAATATAAATTATACTTTACTATTTAAATATCTATAAGGTCTCTTCCTAAATATTAATAAAGGTATCCAATAGAAAGTAAAGTGACCCAAGCTTTTCTTTATAGTTCTAGTTTTTAGTGCATTAGTATATAGAAGCTTGTTGTCGTGTTTACAGGGACACACACACACACACAGACATATGAGCAAGATTGCAAAACTATGTTTTTCCGACTCGGGGAGCTGTAAAACGTCGAGATTTGCAAAAATTTATTGGTTTTTTTTTCATGATTCCAGGACTTTTTCTATCCTTCTTATATACGGCAAAGTGAAAAAAAAAGCATGCTGTACAATGTTAGGTTTTATCGTTTTTTTTCAAATGTAAAAGTTAAACAATTAATTTCCTGTGATTACCAGTGTAAAACATAAATAAAGTAGTATGTTGTAAGCATCCTTTTTTAAATATATATATATATATATATATATATATATATATATATATATATATATATATATATATATATATATATATATATATATATATATATATATATATATATATATATATATATTTTGAAAAAAAAACAAAAAAATAGTACTGACCAGTGAGAGCAGTTAATTGTGAGATTAAACCGCAAAATAGCATCGCACACAAAGCAAGTCCTCGATCCATTTTATATTTTCTAATACAACAACAAAATAAACATTGCGTAATTTATACAGAATGTATGCTTATTTCGTCAAATACATATATAATATACCTCGTGATAAGTACTAGAGTTTGATCTAGAATACGTCATTAATTGTTTTACATTCTGCTGATGAATATGTAGGTGGCATTACTACAGCTTGAAGGAAAAGAACTACATCGCGAACTATGTAGAGTGAGATTGCGTCCCGTTTATTCACAAGAGATCCATATTTTTTTATTTTACGCTTTTAAAGGGTGTGGGGCAAATGTATGTTATGTATGTAAAGAGGTATTAATGTTAATTCTGTTTGTAGACGGTATTTTATTTCTTAACTTACGCCAGGAAGTTATCGGAGGTGGGGAGTTTCATAAAGTCTCATTGACAAAAATGCGGGATATCAAATCAAGATTGCTGGATTAGTCGGTGTAGGTGTTACTGTCCAACTACAACGTCACAGTGTTAGAAATTTACTTAATGCGGGGAGATTTATATGATAGAATGTAATTAACATTTATAATGCAGTTAATAGTAGCTTTAATATAAAATCCCGTTCATTTGTTATACACCGTATCACTACGATTATAACAATATGTTACATCAAAATCGAATCTTAAAAACGGCTCAAAAACGTCAAGGATATACCATGGGTATTCCAACTGAGTACGTCTAGTATTTGTTAAGGCGAAAATATGTGTGTATAAAGTTTTTACTAACAAATTGAATTAAATATATTTTAGATTAAATATATTTTTAAAATCATGTCAAACTTACCCAAGTAAGTCTCTTTACAGTTCGCAATTCACAGCCTCTTCCCAAATATATATACACTTAAACCTTGCAAATGTCGTGTTGCACTAATGTAAGAATAATAGCATAGCTAGAGAGGCGAAATCGAAATTTAATTTTGATATAATCTTTGTAGTATTTTGAATAAGGCTTTGCCAGCTGCTAGGCTTATTTGAAATTCTTTTGTTATATGTCAGCACAATGTTTTTGCAATTCTGAGCGTAACAGCTATGGAATTAAAAAACAATTTTGAAAGTTTTTGATGTAAAATATACATCATGGTCTTAAGCAACTTTGGGCATTTTTTTTCTTTCGTTGGACTCTAGTTGATGATGTTGAAGGAACAAATATTTCAATAAAACTTTTGTAATACTTATTATACAAAAATGTTGATTACAAGTCTATTTTCTCTTATAGTTTTTTTCTCTTACAGGTTGACAGTGACGAATAAGAATAATAACCGCTTACTAGAATGATTGAACCATATATATACATATATATATATATATACATATATATATATATATATATATATATATATATATATATATATATATTTATATATATGTATATATATATATATATATATATATATATATATATATATATATATATATATATATATATATATATATATATAATCACAATTAGATAACAAAACCGAACTATTGACTTTCCCCTTGACCCCTGTGATAGAGTTAATTTGACAATGCTCTTGACGGAGTGTGATTCATTCAGCATACTTTAGTTCGCTTAGGTGGTTGTGTAGACAAACTTGCGCGCAGGCAACTATTATGAAAGAAATATGGCGCATGCTTTGTTCACATATTATAAATAAACCGGGAGTGATCTCCCCTAAACTTTCTCAAATATTCTTATATAAAATAACAGGAGATGGGAACTGGGGCTATAGACATGATTTTTAATCCATTTTAAATACTTAAAGTTTTAAAAATAGAATAAAATCTCGTAGACAAATTAATTGCACACCAAGTGAACGCTAAATAAAAAAGCGCATAATAGTGCGCAATATTATTATTACTTTTAAAATTTACATTAGTTTTTTGAGAAATCGGAAGTAGCGTAAAGTACTACTTCCAGTCAACGGAAATTACTCAAAATTTAACAGAAGGTAGAGAATTAGATCTTTTACTTACATGTGAAATTTCATTTATCTATCTGAAATATTACTCAAGTTATAGGCTTTTGAAAAATTTAAAGTAGAAAAAGTACCACTTCCGGTTATCGGAAATCGCTCAAAAGTTAATACGGATCTACGATTTTGATAAAATACTTATATATGAAATTTCATCAACCTAGCTGTAACGGTACTCAAGTTACCGTGTTTACACACGGACAGACAGACACACAGACAGACACACAGACATACGGACAAGATTGCAAAATTATGTTTTTCCGTATCAGTGAGGTGTAAAACGTCGAGATTTGTAAAAAAAAAATTTTTTGCAGGATTACAAGACTTTCTCTATTCTTCGTATATATGAGAAAGTAAGAACACAAGTATTCTTATTACGTGGACTTTTTTTCGAGTGTTTCTACCTGATTTTTTAAACAAAAATAAGTTTTATCAAAAACGAATATACAATTTCTACTGTCCATTGCCAGTGAAAGCGGCATTACAACCTCCATTGTGATATACGAATATAAAAGAACGTTTGATACGTATTTATATCCACCGAATTATTTACTACGTGGGTTGACACAAAAAATAATTTTCAACATGCTTCACTCACTTTAAATATATTCAACCATCATTGTTTTCACGCAGCGCACAGCGCAAATAATTTCAAAGGCGAGTTGCAAATTAAATTCAAATTTGCCGTCCTGGCGTTCATATTATTCTTTCATTAGTAAATAACAGCTGTAATGTTTAGGTATATATAAACCACTTAGACATTTTAGTATGTTTTTAAAAAGTTAAAAGGCTTGCCTTGGTAAGTTTTTTTAAAAAGAAATCAATCTCTCAATTTCTATATCTCTAAATCTCGCAGTCTCTCAATCTCTCATTCTCTCACTCTCTTACTCTCTCATTCTCTCAATCGCTCAATCTCTCAATCTATCAATCTATCAATCTATCAATATATTAATGTATTAATATATCAATCTGTTAATCTATTAATCTATTAATCTATCAATCTATCAATGTCAGCCAGTCATACATTCAGACAGAAAGACATTCCGTAAGTCAGTTAGTGCGTCAATCAGTCAATCAGTCTGCCTTCCCACCTGTCTGTCTGGCTACCTGCACGATCTAGGGGCAAACATAATATAATTTGAAGTTTAACTTGAAAACAGATTGATGTTACGCAAAAAGAAGAATTAATTGTCTAATAGAGTCAAACAAAACGAATTTTATACAGTTTAAACTTCCTAAACGTCAGGACAGAGAGTATTGATATTACTTGTTATTTTATATGCCGAACATGATACACAATAAAAATGGCGTCAAGCATAACTAATAATCAAGACACTATTATTTTTGCTTTTTTACAAGCATTTATTTAACTTGCTTCCTCTGTCGACATTCTGTCGTCAGTCTGTCGTCAACTGTAAGTCTAGGTCGAAACGCCAGAGCGAAATTACGGGCACTATTAACTGTCAAATACGGTTCTTAGTTTGTACGTGGGGCAAGACATAAAGACAATGCAAAATGACATTAAATTTACCTAGTTGGTTGGTCAATTCATTTTATATCAATTAATTACTATTTAATTTGGACCACATTAGAAGGCAGTCTTACCCAACTATTCAGCACAATTATACAAGCGTCTTTACGTTCATCAGATGCGCAATGGTTTTTAGTCATCCAACTCTATTGTAAATTTTTAAAAATTAAAATACTGAAATAAATCTTAAAAATGTTTTAATAACAAGCTTTTATGTAATAATGCAGAAACAACCAGAAAACAAATGATACACTACTATTTAATAACTATAAAGAAAAGCGTGGGTCTCTTCCTAAATATTGGTAAAGGTAATTAGTAGATACTAAAGTGGCTAACGCTTTTCTTAATAGTTTTTAAATAGTAGTGTATAATTTATGTTCTACTTTTTAGTGAATAAAATTGGTATTAAAACGTTTTTTTATGACTTTTATTTATATGAATGACTTTAAATATTTATATACGACTAGGCGCACAAAAAAAACAACTGTTATTGGCAGTGGCGTGTGTCTTTATTTAACAGCATATACAAGTTCCAATTAAATGTTATTGAAATAAGCAAACATGGACGTTAAAGAATATAAAAAAAGCATTTGTCATTACTCTTTTTGTAAAACAAAATAGATTCCGGTAAACAATTTTTTTTTTTTAAATTCAATTTCAACAAATTTAGAGTATGATAAATTAAAGTTAAACGTTAAAATACAAGAAAAATAATATATTTTCCCCACATTAAAAAGGTTCCGGTGCGACGTACCGGTACGTAACGTCACAAACAAATGCACTGCTTAATCTAACTAAAGCCCCAACCATACAAATACACAACCAAAGCCTAAATCAAAAGCAAAACAAAGCAAAAAAATCAAATCCACAACAACAACCTCATCAAAAAAAGTAACAAAAACCACAAAAACAAAACATTAATAGCGACAGACAGAAGAACAAAATTAAATCAAAACAAGCAAAAAGTATCAGCAAAATTTCCTGTTTTTAGATTATTAAACAGATATTAAATGTATACTAATAGTACGACAATTTTTACTTTCTCGTAAATGCAGTATAGCGCAAGAATTTTAATCTTGCAAAAAAATCAAAATAGAATTTATCTCGATTCTCGACGTTTTTCACCTCCCTGAGACGCAAAGTTTTGCAATTTTTTCCGTGTGTGTATGTGGATGTGTGTGTGTGTGTGAACACGACAACTTGAGTACCAATACTGCTAGGTTGATATCATTTCAAGTATAAGTTTCACATCAAATTCTGTGTCAACTTTTCAGCGATTTCTAAAAACCATAAATGAATTTATTCTACTGTAATAATTGAAATATTTAAAAATAAAAGGTTATGTATGGTATATTACCAACCATTGAATGTTACTTAAAACTGAACGTTATGCGCGTGTCGATGATACAATAAATACATCGTGAGTGATCTCTCATAAACTTACTCGAATATTCTTATATAACACTACAGGGAATGGCAACTCGGGATACAGACAATATTTTAAATCCATTTTTAACTAATTAAACTTTTAAAAATATAATATTATCTCGTAGAAAACAGATTTGCGCACCAAGCGAGCGCCAAACAAAATGTGCCTAATAGTGTGAAATATTATTGGTAAATTTACAATTTAAGACAGATAATTACATGTTTTACTTACGTGTGAATTAACTAATTTATCTAAAGCAGTACTCGATTTGTAGGCTTTTAAAAAATTGAAAGCAGAAAAAATTCCACTTTGGGTTATCGGAAATCGCTGAAAAGTTAATACTTATCTAAAAATTTAATACAATACATACATATGGAAATTCATCAAACTAGCTGTAACGGTACTCAAGTTATCGTGTTTACAGACATACGCACACATACACACACAGACTTACAGACAGTATTTCAAAACGGTTTTTTCCGACTAAGGGATGTGTAAAACGTCGAGATTGGCATACATCTCTTTTTTTTTGAAGATTGCAATACCTTCTCTATCCTTCGTATACGAGAAAGAAAAAAAAACGAATTTTCTCAAACACTGGTGACCTAAGAAGATAATTTTACAGCAATGAAGATGTTCGTTAAAAAATGACGTAAGCAATTAATCATAGGTGCGCCTAAATATTTATTAAGTACAGTTACTGGCACCCGTTTTTAGACTTTTAACAAAATATTTTAAATTTTTTTAGCGGGCTATTTTCTTAATTAATAAAATGTTCCCATTCGTAAATTTCCAATACAAATGTTTTGTAGAGCTGGCATCACAGTTCAATACATTACGTACTTTGTGTGGATATATAACGCGTGTCAGTATAGTCCGTGTAACGTGTACCGATTGGTAGTTATACAAATATT